AAGAAGCAACTTCTCTCCAGGAAAAACATCAAGGACAGACTGATTCTCTGCAAAAGGTACAGGGATTGGACTGCTGAGGAATGGGGTAAAGTAATTTTCTCTGATGAATCCCCTTTCCGATTGTTTGGGGCATCTGGAAAAAACCTTGTCTGGAGAAGAAAAGATGAGTGCTACCATCGGTCCTGTGTCATGCCAACAGTAAAGCATCCTAAAACCATTCATGTGTGGGGTTGCTTCTCAGCCAAGGGAGTGGGATCACGCACAATTTTGCCTAAGAACACAGCCATGAAAAAAGAATAGTACAAAAACATCCTCCGAGAGCAACTTCTCCCAACCATCCAAGAACAGTTTGGTGACAAAAAATGCCTTTTCCAGCATGATGGAGCACCTTGCCTTAAGGCAAAAGTGATAACTAAATGGCTTGGGGAACAAAACAACGCAATTTCAGGTCCATGGCCAGGAAACTCCCCAGATCTTAATCCCATTGAGAACTTGTGGTCAATCCTCAGAAGGCGGGTGAACAACCCACACACACACACACACACACACACACACACACACACACACACACACACACACACACACACACACACAAATTAGGACAAACTCCAAGTATTAATTATGCAAGAATGGACTGCCATCAGGCAGGATGGGGCTCAAAATGTGATCAACAGCATGCCATGGTGCATTGCAGGGGTCTTGAAAAAGAAGGGTGAACACTGAAAATATTGACTCTGCATAAACTTATAACTTGTAATTGTCAATAAAAGCCTTTGACACTTATGAAATGCTTGTAATGCATAGTAACATCTGACAAAAAGATCTAAAAACACTAAAGCAGCAAACTTCGTGAAAATTCATATTTGTGTTATTCTCAAAACTTTTGGCCAGGGCAGTACATACTTTTGGTTTCACCACTTTGTACACTGTACTTCAAACTACATACTTCTTGTAGCAATATTCTGTATGTTGTTCTGTATGTGATTGTATGTTACATTGTCCTAACTTCTCCACTCTGTGTTTTGAACTATACATTACTGTACATACACTTGATGGAACCACTTAGTATGTATTATATAATGAGGACTGCTCTATTCTGTATGCTGTTCTCAAAATACTCTACATTACTCTATTTTGTATTCTGTATTGTATGTTACATACAGTGCGTCTGCATAATTCTAGTCATCAATTGTTCTCACAAGAGTCCCAGTTACCACCGCAGAGCCCATCTTTCACCGTCTACACGTACCATCAGCCCTGAAGAGGGGGGAGCTTATCCCCAAAACACATTGGCTCGATTTGTACACTCGTTATTTTCAGTAAACAATTGTAGCCTTCCATCAAGTATGGCATCACTCTGGACACCAAGCATTCCTGTCTCCCTATCCAAATGCATTAAAAAAATAATTTTTCATTCACCTGTAAAACTGTGTTTTTGAAGTATATCACAGGAAACATGATAACATTCTGGAACCAATAGGTATTCAGCTACTTTCAGGTGATTGGACACTGGAAAAGCTTTAGGGACAGCCCTGCAGACCCTCCTACTGCCAGCATGTGGAGGATTCTGCCTGCATCCTCAGATTTGTACCAAGCAATAACAAGACATTCAATATATAGGGGGACATTATAAAGCAGTCAAACTATGGGGTGGGCAACACAGAAAATGAATAGCTAATATGTTCAAGAGAGGAACAATGAAAAAAAAAAAAGGTGTCAATAATCCTAGAGTACTGCCTGAAGCACCTTATGACTGAAAATGGCACCCGCTAAGGCCACCAGGAAAAAATCTAACAAATGTGAACAAAAAAAAAAATAAAAAGAGGATAACTTTGCAAAACTGATAAACCAGTGTCTGATCCTGAAAGGCCCAAGAAGCACAAGTAATTCTAATAGAATGTGCCTTGACTGGAAAAGGGGTGATTCTATCCCTAAGGTCATAAGACCCAAGGATGAGTTGTTAAATCCACTTAGCAATAGTGGAGAGAGAAGCTGGTTGGCCTACGTGGGTGTCTTCAAGAATGATAGACAGAGTGATAAAAGGAAGCTATAGTGGCGAGGTAAACAAACACCAAACGCAACTTGTACACCGTATCCAAGCAATGGGGAACGACCTCCTTAACATGTTTACCAGCCAGACAGAAGGATAGTAAAACAATGTAAACAATGTCCTTGTTAAGCTGGGAAAGAAGGAGGCCTTACACCTCATAACCTCCTTGTTCTTGTGCAAAACAGACAAGGTTTCTTATAGATCATAGCTTTCAACTCAGAGACTTGCCTAGAAGTGATAGCAACATGCATTGCAACAATGCATGTAAAAGTTAGTCAAGGGAAAATATGTTCAAAAGAAGGCCTCTGAAGGATCAACTGGAATTTGGAAGAGAATTGCTACAATTCTCAGGGTAGTGGCACTCATGAAGGTGAGATTTGACCCTTAATATTACTCAAGGCCAAACTGACTTCTGGAAATTCAGAATCCATTGAAGACCTGAAGAAACTGCACAGTTTGGTTGACATTGGCTGAAACGTGAGGTGCAGTAGACAGACTGAAGGGGAGGGTCACAAATTGGTAATGTGAGCCTACCACAACACACAGCTAGCATTGATGAGCACAAAACCATATAATCTCTCAGATGAAGTGAGGCAATCCCTGACCAGGCAGATTCCATTTGGAACTTTTGTACCCAGAGGAATCAGTTGAGAAGTTTCAGCTTCAGAATGGGGTGAATGCCCCCTTTCACCTTTGAACAGGTTGGAGGTTTGAACAGTTTGGAGTATATCTCCTGAACCTTTCTTACTCCAGGAAAGGATTAATGACCCCCTGAGAGAAGAGATTCTCTAGAGCAGTGAGAAGGTCTTTCTGCCACTGAGGAGAGACTAGATAGTTGGACAGTGAAAAAAATGAGGAGGGGCTTGGAGAAAAATTACAGTTTGTAGCCCTAAATATGATGTCCTGGACCCAAGCATCTGAAACATCCTGGAATCAGACAGCCATGAAGGCTAGAAGACTTCTTCTACTTTGGCAAGTGGGAGTTTCTCTTCCTTAACTGCCTCCTACCCACCATATAAGGAAATGATGGATTGGCGGGGGCTCTTTCCTTCTGGGAGGACGTCATATGACGTCCTTTTACTGTAGCAGTGCATGCGTGCCCCAGCTATCACTGATGCACCCTTGGACACAGCCCATCATCAATCAAGGTAAAGAGCCATTGGCTGCAGCTCATTACCATGTGACCGGCTGTGTCCAATCACAGCTGGTCACAAATGTAAATACAGAGCGGTAACTCACTGTTACCAGCTTCCTCTCCTCACACACAGATCTTGTGTGAGGAGAGGAATCTTCTAAAAGTGAGTTACAATTCTGTACACAGTGCATACACAGATCACATCCCCTGTCACAGTGCCCACCAGTGTTACTATTGGCCTTCAGTGCACCTTAGCCCGCAAGTGCATAACCTTACATTTATCAACATTAAACCTCATTTGTCACATAGTTGTCCAATTAAACAGTGCATTGAGGTCGGCTTGTAAGTTGGAAACATCCTGTTAGGAATGGACTGGCCAGCAATGGTGGGACTCACCTGCCTTTTGATCTGCAGTACCAGGGCTGGCCAGCGGGTGCTCCCAGCAATCAGAGACTCAACCTTTCAGCCAGCTAACACCTGGAACTGATGATGCTGGGGTATTTAAGGGATGGCCAGACCCACAGACTCTGCCTTGGTGTTGTGTTTGTCCTGGGCCCTGTATCTGTCCTGCATCCTGTTTCTGTCCCTCTGCCTGACCCTCTGTACTACGCTGCTTGTTACCTGTTTTGATCTCTGGCTTGTGACCCTGACCATCCCTCTGCCTGACCCTCTGTACTTCGCTGCTTGCTACCTGCTGAACCTGGCCTGTGACCCCGACCATTCTCTGCTTGCTCCCCCTGTACCTACCTGCCCAATTGATATTGACCCGGCCTGCCTGACGACGCTTGCTTGTATGTACTGTTATCTGTGGGTGGTTTGGTTTGGTTTGTTTGCACTGTATTATGTTTAGTATTGCACTGCGTTTATGTTTGTATGGTTAGTGTTAATAAATTGTATTGTTTATCACATATCTGAAGTCTGCGTTTCCCTGCATCAGTCACACACCTCTGGTCATACCTGGGAGCCCTGACATTACACCAAGGCCAATCCTGACCAGAAGTGGCTGCACAGGGAAGCCATCTTGGCTTGTTGATGGGAAGGATGGATCTTGATGAGGTTGAATATTTATATCTGCTAGTGTTTGATGACAGGGAGTATGCTTATCAAACTCTGAAGGAGTATACCCGGGATGAACTGCTAGAATGTATACGGCTCGCTCATGTTCTAGTAGATCAGGGCACAGAGTTCTCTGAGGTGCAGCCTTTGATTGAGGTTTGTGCTGAGTTGGTTTCATCTGGTTCCCCCGAATGCAGGGATGAATTTTTGCCACCATTTAGTGCAGACCAGGTAGAGTCCCTGGTGTGGTTATTAGAGGATGATGTGGGTTACTTTCTGGAGCGTTATTCCACATGTTCACCACAGACACTAAGAGATTGTATAAACGCAGTACAGTCATTGACCAGACAGGCTTTGTGTAAGCTCAGCTTTGTTCAACCCATACTGCAGACATGGACAGATTTGTTGCACCCAGCCTCAGTCAGCTTACAAAGACCCAGTCCTGCTTCTAATCTATTTCCTCAAAACTCTATTCCTGCATTCCCAACAGCTCCTCCTGCCCTGCTATCTACCGCTTGTCAGTACCCTGTTCCCACTCGCTGCACCTATCCTGCCTTTAACCCTGTAAAAGAGCCCTCTGTAGCAACCGCTCCCTCTCCTGTTCCATCCTCCAGTTCTTCTCTGTCTCCAGCTGCTCCATTCGTTTGCAGACCTGCGTTTACTTGCAGTGCTCCAGTAGTTAAAACCAGAAAAAAGCGAAAATTCTTTCCAACCAATACCATCCTGCCAGTATCCAAACCGGTGAGCCTGCCTTCCGTGGTTCAGCCTGAAGCCTCTACTCGGCCTGAAGCCTCTACTCAGCCGGACGCCGGCATTCAGCCTGATGCCTCTACCCAGCATGATGAACTGATCCAGCCTGACGATCCTATTAGGCCAGTTGACTCGATGCCCGCTGTTGATCCAGATGATCCGGTACCTGATCCGGTGCCCGCTGTCGAGCCCAATGACCTGATGCCTGGTGACCCAGTGCCCGCTGTCATACCTGGTGACCCGATGCCCGCTGTCGAGCCAGACAATCCGGTACCTGATGACCCGGTGCTCACTGTCGTGCCTGTTGACTCGGAGCCCACTGCCTTGCCAGATGACGCGGTGCCCGCTGTCGAGCCAAATGACCTGATGCCTGGTGACCCAGTGCCCGCTGTCCAGCCAGACGATCCAATGTCTGACCCAGTGCCCGCGGTCATACCAGTTGACTCGGAGCCCACTGCCTTGCCAGATGACGCGGTGCCCGCTGTCGAGCCAAATGACCTGATGCCTGGTGACCCGATGCCCGCTGTCCAGCCAGACGATCCAATGTCTGACCCAGTGCCAGCGGTCATCCCAGTTGACTCGGAGCCCACGGTTGTGCCTGGTGACTCGGTGCCCGCCGCCCCGCCTGGGGGGCCTGAGACCTGTCGTTCCGCCTGGGGGTCCGGCGCCCGCCACTCCGCCTGAGGGTCCGAGACCTGTCGCTCCGCCTGGGGGTCCGGCGCCCGCCGCTCCGCTTGAGGGCCCGAGACCTGTCGCTCCTCCTGGGGGTCCGGCGCCCGCCGCTCCGCCTGAGGGCCCGAGACCTGTCGCTCCGCTCCGCCTGGGGGTCCGGCGCCCGCCGCTCCGCCTGAGGGCCCGAGACCTGTCGCTCCGCCTGGGGGTCCGGCGCCCGCCGCTCCGCCTGAGGGCCCGAGACCTGTCGCTCCGCCTGGGGGTCCGGCGCCCGCCGCTCCGCCTGAGGGCCCGAGACCTGTCGCTCCATCTGGGGGTCCGGCGCCCGCCGCTCCGCCTGAGGGCCCGAGACCTGTCGCTCCTCCTGGGGGTCCGGCGCCCGCCGCTCCGCCTGAGGGCCCGAGACCTGTCGCTCCATCTGGGGGTCCGGCGCCCGCCGCTCCGCCTGAGGGCCCGAGACCTGTCGCTCCGCCTGGGGGTCCGGCGCCCGCCGCTCCGCCTGAGGGCCCGAGACCTGCCTGGGGGTCCGGCGCCGCTCCGCCTGGGGGCACGATGCCTGTCGCCCCGCCTGGGGGCACGATGCCTGTCGCCCCGCCTGGGGGCACGATGCCTGTCGCCCCGCCTGGGGGCCCGATGCCTGTCGCCCCGCCTGGGGGCCCGATGCCTGTCGCCCCGCCTGGGGGCCCGATGCCTGTCGCCCCTCCTGGGGGCCCGGCGCCCGCCGCCACGCCTGGGGGCCCGACGCCGGTCGCCCCGCCTGGGGGCCCGGTGCCTGCTGCTCTCCCCCCGGGGGCCCGGTGCCTGCTGCTCCGCCCGGGGGGCCCGGTGCCTGCTGCCCCGCCCGGGGGGCCCGATGCCTGTCGCCCCGCCCGGGGGCCCGGTGCCTGTCGCCCCGCCCGGGGGCCCGGTGCCTGTCGCCCCCCCCCGGGGGCCCGGTGCCTGTCGCCCCCGCCCGGGGGCCCGGTGCCTGTCGCCCCGCCCGGGGGCCCGGTGCCTGCTGCTCCGCCCGGGGGCCCGGTGCCTGCTGCCCCACCCGGGGGGCCCGGTGCCTGCTGCTCCGCCCGGGGGCCCGGTGCCTGCTGCTCCGCCCGGGGGCCCGGTGCCTGCTGCTCCGCCCTGGTGGCCCGCTGCCTGCTGCTTCGCCTGGTAATCCGATGTGCCTCTGCCCGGAGTCCTGCCCGATGTGCCTCTGCCCGGGAGTCCTGCCCGATGTGCCTCTGCCCGGAGTCCTGCCCGATGTGCCTCTGCCCGGAGTCCTGCCCGATGTGCCTCTGCCCGGAGTCCTGCCCGATGTGCCTCTGCCCGGAGTCCTGCCCGATGTGCCTCTGCCCGGAGTCCTGCCCGATGTGCCTCTGCCCGGTGCCCGATGTGCCCGGTGCCCGATGTGCCGCCCGGGGGCCCGCCTGCTGCTCCGCCCCGGGGGCCCGGTGCCTGCTGCTCCGCCCGGGGGGGGCCCGGTGCCTGCTGCCCCGCCCGGGGGCCCGGTGCCTGTCGCCCCGCCCGGGGGGCCCGGTGCCTGTCGCCCCGCCCGGGGGCCCGGTGCCTGTCGCCCCGCCCGGGGGCCCGGTGCCTGTCGCCCCCCCCGGGGGCCCGGTGCCTGTCGCCCCCGCCTGGGGGCCCGGTGCCTGCTGCTCCGCCCGGGGGCCCGGTGCCTGCTGCCCCCGCCCGGGGGCCCGGTGCCTGGTGCCCGGTGCTGCTGCCTCGCCCGGGGGCCCGGTGCCTGCTGCTCCGCCCGGGGGCCCGGTGCCTGCTGCTCCGCCTGGTGGCCCGCTGCCTGCTGCTTCGCCTGGTAATCCGATGTGCCTCTGCCCGGAGTCCTGCCCGATGTGCCTCTGCCCGGAGTCCTGCCCGATGTGCCTCTGCCCGGAGTCCTGCCCGATGTGCCTCTGCCCGGAGTCCTGCCCGATGTGCCTCTGCCCGGAGTCCTGCCCGATGTGCCTCTGCCCGGAGTCCTGCCCGATGTGCCTCTGCCCGATGTGCCTCTGCCCGGAGTCCTGCCCGATGTGCCTCTGCCCGATGTGCCTCTGCCCGGTGTGCCTCTGCCCGGAGTGCCTCTGCCCGGTGTGCCTCTGCCCGGTGCCTCTGCCCGGTGCCTCTGCTCGATGTGCCTCTGCCCGGAGTCCAGCCCGGTGTGCCTCTGCCCGGAGTCCAGCCCGGTGTGCCGCTGCCCGGAGTCCTGCCCGGTGTGCCAGTCTTTGATATCCCGCCAGTTACCAGACCCGGGCGGTGGAACATTTTGCCCAGCTAGGACTGTTTGGAGCGTCCTGAGGCCGCTCCTTGGGGGGGGGGGTACTGTTAGGAATGGACTGGCCAGCAATGGTGGGACTCACCTGCCTTTTGATCTGCAGTACCAGGGCTGGCCAGCGGGTGCTCCCAGCAATCAGAGACTCAACCTTTCAGCCAGCTAACACCTGGAACTGATGATGCTGGGGTATTTAAGGGATGGCCAGACCCACAGACTCTGCCTTGGTGTTGTGTTTGTCCTGGGCCCTGTATCTGTCCTGCATCCTGTTTCTGTCCCTCTGCCTGACCCTCTGTACTACGCTGCTTGTTACCTGTTTTGATCTCTGGCTTGTGACCCTGACCATCCCTCTGCCTGACCCTCTGTACTTCGCTGCTTGCTACCTGCTGAACCTGGCCTGTGACCCCGACCATTCTCTGCTTGCTCCCCCTGTACCTACCTGCCCAATTGATATTGACCCGGCCTGCCTGACGACGCTTGCTTGTATGTACTGTTATCTGTGGGTGGTTTGGTTTGGTTTGTTTGCACTGTATTATGTTTAGTATTGCACTGCGTTTATGTTTGTATGGTTAGTGTTAATAAATTGTATTGTTTATCACATATCTGAAGTCTGCGTTTCCCTGCATCAGTCACACACCTCTGGTCATACCTGGGAGCCCTGACACATCCTGTAAAGATGTTATTCCAGTGTATAGCTTGGTGTCATCTGCAAAGACTGAAGTGGTATTTTTGATCCCAGACCCTATATCTTTTATAAATAATATATATTAAAAAGTAAGGGTCCCAACACTGAACCTTGGGGTACACCACTGACATCCCTACACCATTCAGAGTATGAATCATTAACCACTACTCTCTGAATACAATCTTTTAGCCAGTTTTCTATCCATTTACATACAGATTTTTCCAAGCCGTAGACTTTACCTTACACATTAGCCGTGTGTGTGGGAACTGTGTCAAATGCTTTTGCAAAAACCCAAGTATACCACGTCCACCACCACCCCACTGTCCAGGGTTTTTTTTTTGCTCACATCCTCATAAAAATAAATCATATTTTGTTTGACAACTTCTGTCTTTCATGAATCCATGCTGTCTGTTGCTTAAAACATTTTTTTTCCAGCAAGAACTCATCTATGTGGTCTTTTCTTAAACTCTCCAGTATCTTCCCAACTATAGAAGTTAAACGAACAGGTCTATAAGTACTTGGTAAAGATTTTGACCCCCTTTTTAAATACTGGCACCACATTGGCCTTACGCCAATCCACTGATACTATGCCAGTCATTAAAGAGTCCCTAAAAATTAGAAACAATGGCTTTGAAATGACATCTCAATTCTTTAAGGACCCATGGGTGTATGCCATCCGGTCCAGGTGCTTTACTCATCTTTTTTATTTCTAAATATTTTTGAATCATATCAATTTGAGCCAATGTGGATCATCTGGAGCTGTGTCAATACCATGCCCATTATGGACAAGAGCTCCCCCATGCTCCTTTTTATACACAGAGCTGAAGAAGGTATTTCATAAATTTGCTTTCTGTTTGTCCCCACTCTAGATTATTATCACCAGGGTACTTATCCCACAGACAACATCAGCAGTCTACCTGTCCCAGAGCCATCCATGTAAAAAAACTTATACTAGTGAGAAGGCTTTCAAAATCCTAAGTGTGATGGATGAGAGCAGCGGGGAGCTCTCACTGTCTGATTCAGTGTATGAATCAATTGAAAATAGTGGATCATCGACTAAATCAGAGGAAGAAAGGGTACCTCCTAAAAGGATACGGTGCTCTGAAAACCAAGCAGCCACCAGCTGCGCCACGCACCTGACTGCCAAACAGCAAACTCCAATGGCACTAGACCCATGGATGAAAGACCCAGCATTAGACCAGCACCCATCAACCCCCAAGGATCAGGGCCCAAACATACCTCCCAGATGCTCTTGCCAACCCAATATGGCTACCCTCCAACTCAGGATCAGCAAGCATTCCCTTTTTCATCGCACTGCCAGGTGTGCAGGCCAACACTTAGAAAAAAAACACATTTCTGAAAAATTCTATTTATTTTTGTCCAAAAGTTTACTTTGTTTTATTGTGGACCAGACAAACCTTTTTACAAGGTTTTACAAAGAAATGAAGGTTATGCTTACTGGTTCACACACCCAATCCACCACATGCCCATTTATTCTGCTGTAATGCCTAAGTCACGCTATGATCATCTCATGCGATTCCTTAATTTCAGTGACAATACCCAGTGCCTTCCCCGTGATCATCCAAACTATGATAAATTATACAAAATTCGCCTACTTTTTATTTTTTTTCTCAAAGATTTGCTGAACTTTATGTCCCTAAAAAAACATAGACAAATCCTTTGTCCACTTCACTGGCCGGATAGGAATCAAGCACTGTATTTCAAGTAAAAGGGCTGGATATGGAGTAAAGCTCTGCAAGCTTTGTGAAAGAGCAACTAGATATTTGTATGCGTTCTGCATATACAAAGGCAAAAATTCCCAGTTCCAGCCCCTTGAGTGCCCAACCTACCTTGGAACAAGTGGAAAAATTGTCTGGGACCTGGGTTATCCACTTTTCCAAAATGGCTATCACATTTACCTGGACAATTTCTATACCAGTTTTCTGACACCTGTACCATGAGAAAACCTTGGCCTGCGGTACCTCCTGAAAAAAACAGGAAGGGCT